GTGTGTGTGTGTGTGTGTGTGTGTGTGTGTGTGTGTGTGTGTGTGTGGTGATGGTGGGCTCAAGACAGTACTTCTCTGTGTAGCCTTGTCTGTCCTAGACTAGATTTGTAGACCAGGCTGGCCTCAAACTCACAGAGATCAGCCTGCCTCTGCCTCCCTGAGTGCAGAAGACACAGATCTTGATCTTTACAGTCAACCAAACCTGCCAATAGCTTGATTTGGACTTCCAAATCTCTGTGAAAAAAAAAACACATTTTTGTTTTAGAATTCCTACTGTTAGAAAAAGATATTCCCAGAACTTAAAAAAAAAAGCCAACAAAAACCAACCAACCAAGCAACCCGCCCCCCCAACAGGCAAAGCTGTAGGTAATTTACTTCTGCAAATCAAGATGACCTGAAGTGGGTGAGCAAGCACACTGGCGGGAGGTTCACTTAGATATGCTCATGTAGGTGGTGACTGTGTCTTGCCCCTCTGGTGAGAGCTAGACCTCACAGCCTGGCGAAGTCATAGCTGGTGCAAAAAGGGACGGCGTGATAGTTAGGTCTCAGACATGTCTGACATCTGGGAAGTAGGCAAACAAGCACATGCCAAAGTATCACAAGAGATTTATGGGTGGTTGGCAGGCAGGTCACCCATCTTTGATAGAACAAACTGTTTCTCACACTGTAGTGTTCTGTTATAATAGAATAAAAACGAAGACCTCAAAAATCACAAGAAGATACATTTTTCTAGTGAACAAAAACTCCTAAATGGAAATTGTCTGCAGAGATGGACTAACTAGAATTTCAGTACTGTGGAGAGATTGTTGCAGGTCCAAAGATAATTGTCTTATCTTGGACTTGCTCTAGCCATCCAGAACAGCCACTCCTCACCAACCTCTGTGTCTGAACTAACATCTTGTGATCAGTAGGTAAAAACATTTTAAAACCTATTATGTTAACAGAGCCAGACCACTAACTTCCACCAATCCAGAAGCTACGGATGTCATTAGATAGCATCTTGGGCTGATGAAGAGCTTCCTCCTTTTCACTGTACTTGCCTCTCTGATGTAACCATCAATGCATTTTAAATTTGCCTTGATTTATGACTTTCTTTGTTCTGTGAAACTATAAAACTGCTTTCATGCTGGAACATAGAATTTGTGGTAACCTAAATCTGTGTTCCCTAGCTACAGTTAATCAAAATGGCTCCAGAATAAACTACATCCTATCTCCTTTACCATAACATTTTCTGAAGTTTTTCTATTAACACTATATTCACTTGCTTCTCATGAAAATTCTGTAAGGAAAGTGATCATTAGTAAACTCAGCTACGAATAAGAGAACCGAGTTAAATATAGGTTCAAGAGCTTGACCAATGTCATTTAGCTGCAACTGGCAAATCTGAGATTTGAAACTTGGCATTCTGACTCCCAAACCAAAGTTTGTAACCATAACATTGAGGACAGGAATAAAAAAACTTCACACTGAGAACACACCGCTATATTACGACTGGCAAGACTGGCTTTTGACAAAGCAATGTTCATGGCACAGTCCTTCCCATAAAATGTGATAGTGAGGGACACAGAAAGATGTGGGTAGACAATTATGATATGATGTACTAAAAGTGGCAAGAAAGGGACAGTCACTGGAGCTTCTAGAGTTTCACAGAAGCAATGGAAAAAGCAAGGTCAGGGAATGAAAGGAAAGGGTAGAAAAAATACAGAGAGGGAGACCTTCCTTTCAGCGGAAGAAAGAAATCCTTACTGATCTAGCAACAATTTCTTCAGTGCTCCTAGCTAAAGCTATGGATTCTGAGTTTTAGAGCAAAAAGGGTTAGCGCTTTATAAAGTAGTTAAATTGACTACTGCTATTAGTATGAATTGATTCATTGTTTCAGCTCTAAAGTATATATATATATATATATATATATATATATTTTCTCTCTCTTTTTCTCTCTTTCTCTCTCTCTCATTCAGAAAGGTGAGAACACTATGAGCATCTCATTGATACCCTTTGAACCATTTACAAAAGTAGCTGGCAATAATTTTGAAATTCTTGCTGTAGTGACTGCATGAATCATATTTAACCTTTTCATAAAAGAGTATAAATAAAACCAACTGATGCCTGTTGATGCTAACCAACCTTCTGTATTTTGAACAGCTATCTCTTCTGTCCCAACAGACTCTGTACTTGTCTGTTGCTCCTCAGGGTCTCCCTGGAGAAGGTTTTCACCGATAGCCCACAGAAGCAAACCACGCAAAGTGAGGATGGTGGTTCCATCTCTGGTATAGATTTTGGAAGCTGCTCTGGTGAGTTTAGGTCGTTCCGTGCACTCTGCAAGAAGATACACAACACAAGTTGTAAAGAACTGATGGAAAGGGCTAGAGAGGTGGCTCAGCTCCTACAAGTTCTCACTGCTTTTGAGAGAACCCAGGTTCTGTTCCCAGCACCCATATGATGGCCTACATCTGTAGATAACTCCAGTTCCAGGGGCTCCAGTGCCCTCTTGTGACCTCTGGGGGTACCAGGCTTGCACAAAGTGCACTTAAATGCAGGTAGGACACATAAAAATAAAAGTGAATAATATATTTTTAAAAACACTAACAAGAAATAATGATGGCAATTGAAATCATAACAAGTTGTTTCCCATTGTAGAAATCTGAAAAAATCCTTTATTTTGAAAGAACAGGCACTGAATAAGTGTTGATGTTGATTTTTGATTACTGGCAATTTTTGATAGTTGATTGCTCTATTTAACATGAGTCAAACCTGGCTTTGGGCATCCCTGACTCTAGCTGAAGCGGAGCTGCTGATATATGCTGATACATTCCCCCATCAGACTATCCTAGTAAAAGTGTGTAACTTAGAAACCTCCTTCCATTTATTATACTACAAGATGCAAAATTGCAATACTGCAAATTGGTGAATAGTTTTGAATAAACAAAGTTAATGTTCTATCCCAAACCTGTCAGACATTATCACCTCTATTTTGCAGGTGGGAAAACAAATCATAGAGCCAGACTTGTGGGCCAACAAGATGCCCCAGAGGGTTAGAGTGCCTGCTGCAAACCTGATGATGTGAGTTTAATCTCTGGGGCCATATAGTGGAGAAAGGAAATCAGCTCTCTCAGATTGTTCTTTAACATCCAGAAGTGCATTGTGGCACAAGTGTGGCCACATGACACACACACACAGACATTCATACATAAAAATGTAAACGCAAAAAAGACAAAAATAAAACAGAAAAACAGAGCGGGAGGGTGCCTTTGTTAAATCTTGGTGTTGAGTTTTGTGCTTTGCTTTGTCCGCTGAGCAGTAGTTTCTCTTCTGAAAAGATTTATTTATTTTTTTTGTGTGTTTAATTATGTTTTTCATTGTCCATCTCTGTGTGCACATGGGTGCAGATGTCCCAGGAGGCCAGAAGAGGGTGTTAGGTCCTGGGAAGCTGGGTTTATGTACAGACTGTTGTGAGCCACCAGATTGGGTGTGGGAATCAATCTCATGTCCTTTGTAAGTGTTGAGCCATCTCTCCAGACCTGAACAACAGTATCTTGACAAGAAAAGCCAATTGTTTGCCATCACAGAGGTGAGTGAACAGGAAAGGATGGGGAGTTGGCAAGAAAACTCCATGTTGTATTTAATATTACCTATAAAATGTTATTAAAAATATTGGGCAAGTTGTTGAGACAGAATTATCACTTTGGAGCTCTCTTCTTTCTCATGACTACTCAGCCCCTAAGGCGATTACAGTCATTGACCACTTGAGGCCGCCCAACTTAAAAGTGAAGTGAAACACCTTATTAATAAATATGTGTTCAGATGCTCCAAATGCTACCTGAAGTGACTTTTTTTTTTCAAACCATTCAGATGACATGCAACTTGAAGTGCATGGAGAACAAAGAGGAAAGAGATGCTCTGTTCAGCATGAGAGTGAAGAATCCTATTTGGTCTATTTTCCCTCTTGCTTTATATCTTTTCTCTGGGCCCAGTGGAAAACCAATATATTGGTTTCTCACTCTTTCTAAACTTGTGTTCAGAAAGAAAGAAAGAAAGCCCAAAAGCAATGCTTCCAGGAAAATGGAGATCAGTTTAAGTTTATGGACATAGACAGGGATACCTGTTGCTCATTTGGGGGGGGGGGGGTTCTTGTCAGGAACTGCCGTCACCATTATCTCCAAGGATGGATCCAGCATTTTAGTGATAGCCACTTATCCCCAGGAAATGTCCCAGGCACAATTAACTTCCCATTTGAATATCCATTCCCATTTTTGTATGCAATTATTTTCACTGCCTTCTGGTACAAAGCTACCACACCACTGTGAGTTGCAGTGCATTCACTTTCACTTGTCTTTGTCCATAAAGATGACAGATACTTTTCATATCTTAGAGTGTTTTCACCTTCATAAAAAGATAAATCAGCCTGGTTAGTTTAAAAAAAATGAATATCTACATAAATTGTGTTGCTTCTGCTCTGTTATTTTGACATGTTTCTACTCCCCATGTAAAGGCTGCATGTATGTGTATGCGCGTGGCACTTACACTTGATAGTGCCTTCTTCATGTACTGTAGATTCTTGACGTGGAGGAGTAAGGGAGTTGGGTCAGAATTCCTCGGTTCTCTTTCTGGTCCTCTCACTAACACCTTAACACTTGGTTTGTCCTTTTGGCTTGCTCTGATTTTCCTTAGCTGTTGCTGTATATCTGTTTGGATTTGAGATGGGTCATAAGAGATGCGAAAGAAAGGATTTCAGAACCAAAGGGAACCTGGGATTGAACACAACAGATACTTTCTTAGTCACTCTAAAAGGAGGTCATTCACTGGTGGCAGATGAGTGAGGAGGGCAAGGAAGATGCAGAAGATCCCTTAGAAAGCTTTCCCTCACTGTCCTGACCCAAGAGCCTGCCAGAAGGGACAGGCTCTGACTATGCTGCTGTAGAGTTCTTCCCAGTTACCCCAGTATTTGCAAACCAAATACTGCCAGGCTTCCAATGTGACTGGTTCCTTTCTTTTTCCGGGTCACTACTTGGGTTGAGTTGACTGTCCGTCTCTAGCATAAATTGGGATCAGGAGACAGAGGAGTGAAGTCTGAGGACAAGAAGGTGATCCCTGCAGAGCAGCAGGCTGGCTAGCTGCTCACATTTCAGGGTTACCTCCTCTTTATTCTGCTGTTTAGTCACCCCCTAACCCTGGTTCTTTACACTGCTCAACTTGAAGGGAAGGATCTTCTCCTTCTGTTTCAATGGTGCCATTTTAAGTGAAGGTCACAGGAATGTGGCAGTTAGTCCTCGCGCCCCAGGGGTGCTAAGTGGCATTAGACATTACAAACAGCAGCATGTCAAATCCTCCCCGAAATTCAACATACTCACAATAACGCAGCTTTCCCTGTCAACGCGGGGCAAACGCTACTGTGCTAATTAGAGATCTGCGGTTACGTCCGAAGCGCCCAATCAACTTCAAGGGATGGTGCCTTTGAGGAAGGTGAAGTGGGTGAGCGGAGATGGACCAATCCAAATGCATCAATGTTGCCAAATCCTTGCCACATGGGCAGCAGCAGAGCCTGGTATGTACCTTGGCAACACTGATGACCTTGAAAGACCCTCGTCGCAAGGACTTCTGTTCAGAGCCTGAAACACAGAAGAATGGAGCCCTTGGAGGCAGATGTCTCAGCCCCTTCTCTGCCCCCATGGACTGTCCGTGCGCCAGGCAGAGCATGATTTTTCCCTTTCCATCAGGTGAGAGGTAACAGTATCCCTAAAACAGGAGGAAAGATGCTCCCATGTCGGTGTTTCTTAATCATAAAAGCTCTTTTATAGAGCTCTTCACAGCATAAGGAAAGTATGTTCGTCATCATCAAATGCTACATTTAAATCCACAACCCAAATGCATTATGCATCTAACAATTAATTCTTACACGTATTTATTTGGTGTGTTTATGCTGGGAGCGGGGGCCAAACATGGTTGGAGGTCAGAGGCTACTTTGCAAGAGTTGGTTCTCTCCTTCCATCACATGGGTTCCAGGAATTGAACTCAGGTCCTCAGGCTTAGCAGCAAGTGCCTTATCTGTGGAGTTATCTTACTAGTCCCAATAAATTTTTTTAAAAATATTTAAGTATTCCTATGGGCTACATCTGAGCACAGGGTCTAGGTCATCTCCATGCATGGTCCTTGGTTAGTGTATCAGTCTCTGCAGGACTCCCTGGGCCCAGAAGTTTTGGCTTTGTTGGTCTCCTTGTGGAGTTCCTGTCCCCTCTGGGTCCTTCTATCCCTTCTCCTCTTCTTATGTAAGACTCCCTGCCCTCTGCCCAAAGTTTGTGGATGAGTCTCTGCATCTGCTCCAATATGGGTCTCTAAGTAAAGGGAGCAGGAGCTGCTTCTGCCATGAGCTGGGCAGCCTGTTCTTTGATCACTTCTCCCTGGCAGGGCTGCCTTGCCAGGCTATAGAAGAAGAAGATCCAGGCAGTCCTGATGAGACTTGAAAGACTGGGGTCAGATGGCAGAGGAGAAGGTCTCCCCCTTTCAGTGGACTAGGGGATGGGTAGAGGGGGAAGGAGGAGAGGGAGGGACCAGGAGGATATGAGGGAAGGAACTACAGTTGGGTTATAAAGTGAATAAATAAATAATATTAATAATAAAAGTATTTCTTAACTCTGTAATGATTATTTAATATCAGAGACTCTAACTTTTGTACAGCATTAAGATTTCTTTGATGAATGACCAGTGTTTTCTCAGGGATAAGAAAAGTACATATAACATCTTGTATATAAGGGACATCTTGCTGTACCCAGAAACTAAATAATCAATATTGGAGTTAAGGATTAATATCAAAAGGATACAGAAGGCAAAGTGAAGGAATCCCAACTGTCTCAAAATAAGACAGTTTGAGACTAGAAAGGATGATATTTGAAACAGACTGTTCTTGAGTATATCAACTCCCAGGAGTTTATAATAAGGCTACGAATTTGAGTAAAGAATGAAAAGGGCAAGGGACCTCATTCAGCATTATCAGAAATGAATTATGGTTGACAGACATTTGACTTGAAACTAACAGTGGTGGCTCTTAGTGTAGCAAATTCTTTCTAAAGATGGCCATAATAAAGCTAGTCCAATCCTGTTTGTGTGCCCTTTTAACTGGTGACGCTGCTACACCACTTGTCAAGAAGTGTAGTGTTTTTCTCTGTATCTCCCCTCCGTGATTGTGAGCTGGCTCTGTCACCGACATTGGCCCACTGACAACAAAAGTAAAAGGCAAGCAGTTGCACGGGGGGGTGGGGGGGCTTGCACAGTGGAGGCTGGCCTCTACAGCTAACACCGGAGACCTGAGGCCACACTGTGGAGTCAATTGGGCCAACGTCCTTGAGGAGTGAGCGGGAGGAGAGTCAATGCCTGCCAACCAGTATGCATGTTAGAGACTACATCTTGGGCTTCAAAGAAAAAAAAAAAGCTACAGGCTGATCATAACCACTTTAGAGGCTCTTTAAAGACCTGCAGAGCTGGCCAGCAGTGCTCATCCCAAATTGCTACCTCACAAGGGTATGTATTTTAGTTGATGTGCTATGTTATAACAGAAAAGTGGAGTTTCAAAAAAAAGAAGTAGGTATGTCCTCTGCCTTTCCCTTCAAACCATACTTTTGGATACTGAAATACCTATATGGGAAATGTTCTTATTATAACTTCAGTTAATTAATGTGGGGAAAACAGTATAATCAGATAAAAGTGACTAATATGAAACAAAATGATGATATTGGATGAATAGACACTGAGGAATTTCCAAATATGGGAATAAGAAGAAATTAATTCAAATGACTAAGCATTAGGACAGCTAGGTATAGGTTTCAGAGACCTAAGTATATGAAACACACAGGGAAACCCATTAAGGTTCTGAAGAAAACGGTTAGCATAGGTCTTAATAACAACTTTAGTGTGCGTCCCATTTATAGAATCAATGAGGAAGGAGAAACAAGTCAAAGGATGCTACAAGGAAGCAAATTCAAATGGACCATAAGAACAAGATCCCAGCTGAGACCCTTTTTTGAGTCTTGACCCAAGCTGACAAACAGAAAAATGGGTTTTCAGGACAACCCAGGAATTTTGATTAAAAATAGTTTATTACGTTGCTCAAATATCATCGTTAATTTTGTTGATCATGACAATGGCATGGTGATTATGTCAAAAATGTTTAAAATTATATGATTCCATATTTAATTTAGAAGTAAGCTAATATCATATCTGAGATTAGCAGAAGTAACCCAATCTTGGTCACAGCTGATTGTGTGTGATGGGCAAATCATGATTCACTGTACAAATGTCTGCTTTAGAATATGTATGAAGTTGTCCACAATAAAACAAGTAGTTTTGGACAGACTATATAATTTATCTTACTCCTCATAATTTTCTTTCATTCTTTCCTAATGAGAATCCCGGAGTATAAGTGATTTCCTCAAAAATTAGTATTCATGCCGAACATGGTAATACACACCTGCTATCCCATACTTGGGAAACAGAGAGAAGGGGGATGGCAAGTCAGAAGCCAGCTTGGTCTTTGTAGAAAGACTGTTGGAAACTAACAAGTTAGTGCTCAGCCTGTATGAATTCAAGCTTTACTGTGGGGAAAAACTTCTTGCTTTATTAAATGACCCTATTTTTTTTTCCATCTGTGGGAAGAGGGAACTACTTACAGGCTGATCAATGTTTTCTTTAGTGACAGATGACGTGCAAAGGCCAGAGGAATTCACTGCTGTGATTTCCTTATCCAGGGCTGTACTGTGAAAGGCTATAAATGTTCTTTTATTTTCCATGTAATGCCACTTTTGATTGGCAGTCCCATTGCTGTATGGCTTATATTTCTAGAAAAACAAAAGAGAGCAATAATATACAGACTCAAATAGATAGGTGAGTTTACAAGATGGCATAGCGAGTGTTTTTCTTTTTATTGCATAAGTTTAGAAAGTACAATTACTCATAAATTATTGTACAATGATAATTACTGTCCATATTTGAGAATTACATAAATATTTCATAATGTTAAATACATTGTTTCATTCACAAAACACTAAAACATACAATTTTGTAACTCTATTATTTTTGATACTTAACATTCTTCTGTGAATTTTCTGACATTTAAAAAAATATTACTCATTTTATCTCAGAGATAGTATGCTTTCTAATCCTGAATAGTTAAACCTGCAGGTTTTTTTTTTAAAAAAACATTCCTTATAATAAATGACATCAGGAGATGTGTGTGTGTTTACGTGTGTGTGTGTGTGTAAATACATGAACACTTCTTTAGCATTCTAAAACGTCTAAAAGGATTTTTGATTAAGGTCATTTAAAAAATTATGATATTGACTAAGAAAACATTTTTTAGAAAAATTATTTGGCTTTCTTCATCACTTCCAGTATGTTAATTTACCTATTATTTTTTTATTATTACAATTAATCCACTTTGTATGCCAGCTGTAGCCCCCTCCTTTGTCCCCTCCTAATCTCACCTTATCCTTAGTCTCCTCCCATATCCCTCCCCAAGTCCACTGATAGGGGAGGTCCTCCTCCCTTCCATCTGACCCTAGCCTATCAGGTCTCATCAGAACTGGCTGCATTGTCCTCCTCTGTGGCCTGGTAAGGCTGACCTCCCCCTCAGGGGAAGGTGATCAAAGAGCAGGCCAATCAGTTCATGTCAGAGACAACCCCTGCTCCCCTTACTAGGGAACCCACTTGGAGGCTGAGCTGCCATGGGCTACATCTGTTCAGGGGTTCCAGACCATCTCCATGAGTGGTCCTTGGTTGGAGTATCAGTCTCAGAAAAGACCCCTGGACCCAGATTTTTTTTTTGGTTCTGTTGCTCTCCTTGTGGAGCTCCTGTCCCCTCCAGGTCTTTCTATCTCCCTCTTCTTTGATAAGGTTCCCTGCATTCTGCTCAAAATTTGGCTATGAGTCTCAGCCTCTGCTTTGATACCCTTCTGGGTAGAGTCTTTCAGAGGCCCTCTGTGGTTGGCTCCTTTCCTGTTCCCCGTTATCTCCCTCTTCCATTGTCATCCCATTTGCTTTCTAAGTGAGGATTGAGAAACTCCTTATTTAGCTTTTTTAGTTGTACAAATTTTAGGATGTTTATCCTATATTATATGACTAATATCCACTTATAGGTGAGTATATGCCATGTGTGTCTTTCTGCTTCTAGGATACCTCACTCAGGATGATATTTTCTAGTTCCCATCATTTGCCTGCAAATTTCATGATTTCCTTGTTTTTAATTGCTAAGTAGTTTTCCATTGTGTAAAAGTACCACAATTTCTGTATCCATTCCTCCATTGAGGGACATCTGGGTTGTTTTCAGATTCTGGCTATTATGAATAAAGCTGCTATGAACATGGTTGAGCAAATATCCTTGTTGTATACTTGCATATTTTGGATATATGCCTAGGAGTGGTATAGCTGGACCTTGAGGAAGCACTATTCCTAATTGTCTGAGAAAGGGCCAGATTGATTTCCAAAGTGGTTGTACAAGTTTACATTCCCACCAGCAATGAAGGAGGGTTCCCCTTTCTCCACAACCTCTTCAGCATGTGTTATCACTTGAGTTTTTGATCTTAGCCATTCTGATGGGTATGAGATGAAATCTCATAGTTGTTTCCATGATGCGTAAGGACACTGAGCATTTCTTTAAGTGTTTCTCTGCCATTCAATATTCCTCTATAGAGGTTACTCTGTTTAGCTCCATACCCCATTTTTTAATTGGATTACTTGATTTGTTGCTTTTTAACTTCTTTAGTTCTTTATATAGTCTGGATATTAGCCCTCTGTCAGATATAGGGTTGGTGAAGATGCTTTCCCAGTCTGTAGGCTCTTCGTTTTGTTCTGATGACAGTGTCCTTTGCTTTACAGAAGCTTTTCAGTTTCATGAGGTCCCATTTATTGATTGTTGATCTTAGAACCTGTGCTGGTAGTGTTCTCTTCCAGAAGTTGTCTTTTGTGCCAATGAGTTCAAGGTCCTTTCCCACTTTTTCTTCTAACAGGTTTAGTTTTTCTGGTTTTATGTTGACATCTTGGATTTTACTTTTGTGCCAGGTGATAAATATGGGTCTATTTGCATTTTTATTCATGTAAACATCCAGTTAGACCAGCATATTTGTTGAAGATGCTTTTTCCATTGTATGGTTTTGGCTTCTTTGTCAAAAATCAAGTATCTGTGTGTGTGTGTTTACTTTTCGATCTTCTTTTTGATTCCATTGATCCAGCATCCTGTTTGTATACCAGTACCATGCAGTTTTTATTACTGTTGCTCTGTAGTACACCTTGAGATCAGAGATGGAGATACCTCCAGAAGCTCTTTTATTGTACAGGATTGTTTTAGCAATTTCTGGTTTTGTTTTTGTTGTTGTTGTTGTTGTTGTTGTTGTTTGCTGTTTATTTTTTCATATGAAATTGAGAATTGTTTTTTCAAGGTCTGTAAAGAATTGTATTGGTAATTTGGTGGGAATTGCATTGAATTTGTAGCTTGCTTTTGGCAGGATGGCCATTTTCACTATGTTAATCCTATGGATCCATGAGCATGGGAGATCTTTCCATCTTCTCATAGCTTATTCGATTTCTTCCTGCAGGGACTTGAAGTTTTTTTCAAACAGTGCTTTCACTTGCTTGGTTAGAGTCACACCAAGGTACTTTATGTTATTTGTGTCTATTGTGATGAGTGTAGCTTCCCTAATTTCTTTCTGAGCCCTTTCGACTTTTGTATACAGGAGGGCTACTGATTTTTTTAATTAATTTTTTATTCAGCCACTTTGCTAAAGCTGTTTATCAGCTGTAGGAGTTCTTTTCTAGAATTTTTGTGGTGACTTATGTATACTATCATATCTCTGTGAATTTTTATCACCTTGATGTCCTTTAGTTGACTTATTGCTCTAGCTAGGACTTCAAGTACTATGTTGAAGAGATATGGAGAGAGTGGGCAGCCTTGCCTTGTCCCTGAATTTAGTGGAATTGATTTAAGTTTCTCTTTGTTTAGTTTTTTTGTTGGCTATAGGCTTGCTGCACACTGTCTTTACTATGTTTAGATATGTGCCCTGATACCTCCAAGACATTTAACATGAATGAGTGTTAGAATTTGTCAAATGCTTTTTGGGGATTTAAGGAAATGATCTTTTTTTTGTTATTTTTTTTTTCAGTTTGTTGATATATTGGATTCAATTGATGGATTTCCATATATTGAACTACCTCTGCATACCTGGGATGAAGTCTACTTGGTCAGAGTGGATGATATCTTTGATGTGTTCTTAAATTCAGTTTGCAAGTATTTTGTTGAGTATTTTTCCATCAATGTTCATAAGGGAGATTGGCCTAAAATTCTCTTTCTTTGTTGGGTCTTTGTGAGGTTTAGGTATCAAGGTGACTGTAGCCTCATAGAATGTATTTGATAATGAGCCTTCTGTTTGTATTTTGTGGAATAGTTTGAAGAGAAATGGAGTTAGCTCTTCTTGAAGGTCTGGTAGAATTCTGTGCTGAAATCATCTGACCTTGGGCTTTTTTTTTGGAGGTGAGACTTTTGATGAATGCTTTTATTTCCTTGGGGGATAAAGGACTATTTAATCTATTTACCTGATCATGATACAATTTTGGTAAAGGGAATTTATCAAGAAAATTTTCCATTTCATTACATTTTCAAATTTTGTGGTAACAGGCTTTTGTATTAAGTACCTATTGTTTTTATGTTCTTGCCAAATGTGCATAATATATCCCCAAACACCAGATCACTAAGTGAGAAAAACAGCAATTTGTTGACATTTCAAATATGAATTTCATTGGTATTCAAGGAAGTGTTTTTTCCAATAATTCAGCTGAATACACAACAGAAACTGTGTATTTTAATACTATTGTTTGTATTGTTTTTAAAATTTTATTTATTATTGTTTTTTATTTCCTGTGAATTGGTGTTTTACCTACATGTATGTATTTATGATGTTGGTGAATACCCTAGAACTGGAGTTACAGACAGCTTCGAGCTGCCATGTCAGTGCTGGGAATTGAACCCCGGTTCTCTGAAAGAATAGTCACTGTTCTTAACCACTGAGCCATCTCTCCAGCCCTGTTTGTATTGTTATAGAATGTAATTTTGTTAATGGTACACCATTTTTGAGTTATCTCAAGTGTTAAAAAATAGTTTCAGTGTAAGATGATTTAAGCTGGTAGGCTAGCTACAAATACCCATGTTATGATGCCTCAAGGAACTTTATAACTTACAATAACTACTTTACCTTGTAAGAGATTAATAGCCAAGAAGTCCTTAACACTAATTTAATGGATCAGACAACAGAGCTCCCTCCAAGGTTTGGAAAACCAAACGCTAAATTCTCAGACAACACGAAGGGTCAAACAGTATTATCCTGGAGTAGCTCGTTTCCATGATTTTACAGATACTTTAACATTTTCTCACAAACTTACCATTTAATACATAAAAAATGAAGCACCTGCAATTACAAGACATCATGAAAGGTAATCCAAATTACCTTACGATTAAGTTTATTCCTTATAAAATAAGACACATTGGGGTGACATTAATATCTGCAAATGCTATGAAAACAATTAGGCAACCAAGTGAATGTGGAGCTGAGTGAGGTTTAAGCTCCCTGCTCTGTGTTGAAGAGGCACCCGACAAGAAGCATGGAATGTTATGTGCGCCATGTCTTCAGAATAAATGTTTACTCCTTGTTCATCATGAGGACAGAAGACGTAATTAAACAGCACTCAGAATCCATCCAGCTTGCTGTGTCCTCATTTCAGATTCCAAACTGCAAAACAAGTTTCTTTGCTAAAAGCGTGGAGTAAAACAAATGTTATTTGGAGAGAATTATTCTGTTCGATGAAAACCAGGGTGGAGCTTTCAGGAGGTGAATGCGGAGCTTGGATCTTCCTAAGCCATCTCTTGGCCTAGCAAGGAAAATCCAATTACAAGTGTTTGGCAGAAGAAACCTTCCTGGGTCTGCACCCAAGACTCCAAGTGAAACCTGTACTAAAGGTACCGCAAGTGGGTTGCTTAGAATTACCGCTGTGGGCTCATGACCAACAAAAAGGTTGACCAGTCCTCTTCCTCCAGTCTCCAGACCAGGGGTCCTTGCCTGTGCTCCCCGTCAGTGAAATAGGTGCACCGAACGGCCATCACCTCTGAGGTTGCAAGCTCTATGAATCCTGTTGGGAGTGTTTCTGACGCTTGCCAGTGTGACTCTTCTAAGTGCCCCTACCCTAAACTACCAGCAAGCCTACAATCGCCATTAATCAGAATGAACCGAATTGAGAGGAACCATGATACACTCAACTTAAAGTCTAGGCATAGTATTACAAATATAGATGTATGTATATATGTGTGTATACACATGTATTTTTACCACTGACATTCAAGATAACAATCTATGACAGCCGTTCTCTGCAACAAAAAGGGATGGAGCCTCCTTGCAATGTCATGAAAGGGGAAGGCTTCTTGTTGGCCTGTGCATATCTTACCTGAATAATAACTGGATAGCCACGGGCTTCATTTTGAGCCTTGGTCATAAGCACTGCCAGCGCAAGGTCTGGATTACTCACTAGGTAAAAGGTCCTTAAGAAGACAGAATTAATTGCATTATATAACATGTTGTTATTAATGTAAATAGAATTTTCATACATTTCTGCTATGTGAAAACCTAAGTCTCTTTATGTATCATCAGCTAATCAGAACAAATAAGTTATGACATTCTGATTTAGATATTACCAAATATCCATTAAAATACCTTATGTAGAATTTATAAATAACAGTTCATGTTTTATCAGAGCTTAGCAATTCTTCATAACCTGTTTTCCCTATTTAAATCATGGTGTAGTTTTTGTCTCTAGATTGTACCCACTCTGATATATCTTTATGGCCCATGTTGCTATTACTGAGAAGCAGTAAAGATGATGAAATGGATTTTGCAGTTATGCTGCGTGGGATAGAATCCTGAGTCCATGTCTTAGTACTGCATGGCATATTAACAACTCGATGCTTCAATTTTCCTAGCTATGTATCAGAATAATGCTCATGCTGTGGGAGTCAAGTGAGTTAATACAAATGAAGGGAAACGTTATAAGGGAAATCATTAGTTATAACTATGCATTGCTGTGGCTTTTCAATATATTTTACTGGGGTTCTATTCATGGTTCAACAGTCAAGACACAGGCACTGGGAGGATCACAGCTACCTGTAATTCCTGTTCCAGGATATCTGACACCTTCACTGGCCTCTACAGACACCTGCACTTGTGTGCATGAACCCACACAGAGAGAGACACATAAGGAACAAAATAAATCTTTAATATATATTTTGCATTAAATTCTTGTGTTTCCAAAAAAGATCTTTCCAAAGTCCAAAATAAATGTTGAAAATTTAAAAAGTTGTGTGTGCACGCACACACACACACACACACATCTGTGGAGGCCAGAAGAGGGAGATGGACACTTTGGAGCTAGAGTCATAAGCCATCAGATGTGAATGTTAGGAAACAAACAGCAATGGTGTGGAAGAGTAGAACTGTTCTTAGGTGCTTAAGCCATCTTTCCAGCCCCTATGTGGATTTTTCTAAAATTTTATTTGTTTGTTTGTTTATTTATTTATTTATTTATTTATTTGTACGCGTGTTTTTCTGCATGTATGTATGTGTACCATTTGCATGCTTGCTGCAGGTGAAGGTCAGAAGCGGTGACTTTATCCCCTGGAACTAGAGTAATGAATGAATGTAAACCTCTGTATGTGTGCTAGAAATAGAACCATCATCCTCAGCAAGAGCAACCAGTAAGTATTCCCAACCATGGAAACATTTCTTCAGCCCCTATGCTGAATATCTTTTTAATGACTTTAATTTTTTGTATTAATGATTTTATTTTTATTTATTACAATTAATTCACTGTGTATCTTGGCTGTAGCCCCCTCTATCTCCTCTCACTCCCACACATCCTTCCTCTTTTCCCCCTATGTTCCTTCCCTAGTCCCCTGATAACAGAGGGCTTCCTCCCCTTTTTTCTGACCCCAGCCTATCAGGTCTCATCAGGGTTGGCTGCATCTTTATGATGCTGGTCTAGCTGGATGTCTACATGTAGAAAAATGCAAAAAGAACCATATTTATCACCTTGCACAAAACTAAAGTCCAAGTGGATCAAAGACCTCAACATAAAACCAGACACACTGAATCGTTAGAAGAAAAAGTGGGGAAGAGACTTGACTTCATTAGCACAGGAGACAACTTCCTGAACAGAGCACCAACAGCACAGGCTCTAAGATCAGCAATCATAAATGGGACTTCGTGAAACTGAAAAGCTTCTGTAAAGCAAAGGACACTGTCAACAGAACAAAACGACAGCCTACAGACTGGGAAAGAATCTTCACCAACCCTATATCTGACAGAGGGCTGATATCCAGAATATATAAAGAACTCAAGAAGTTAAACACCAACAAAACAAGTAATCCAATTAAAAAATGGTGTACAGAGCAAAACAGAATTCTTGTAGAGGAATATAGAATGCAGAAAAACACTTAAAGAAATGTTCAATGACCCCTAGTCATCAGGGAAATGCAAATCAAAACAACCCTGAGATTTCATTTTACACCCATCAGAATGGCCAAGATAAAAAAAAACTCAAGGAACGACGCATACTGGAGAGGTTGTGAAGAAAGGGGAGCCCTATGCTGAATTTTAAAAATGATCTTGCAGCTAGTACAAAGCCTCCTTGGCTGAAAAGCAAAATTAAAATGACTAAGTGAAAATCTTCATATTAGTTTCCTTATATCACTTTAAAAAACTAAAGCAAACATTCAGGACTTTTGTCTGAATAGTAAAATACATTCTTTATTTCTTCTTTATTTTATAAACATGGTTACATTAGAGACCAGTGGTTGCATTTCTGCCATTGGAAAGCTAATTCATCTTGAATATAAAATGTAATGATGTGAGAATGAAGGAATGGGGACGGTGTGGGGATATATCCATTATAAAAAATATACATTTTTCTCTAAACACTTAAAAAGTTCCAGATACCTTATTCAACTTTTGAGCATAAACACAGCACATCCTTATTTAAAGAATTACAAAATTCTTGGAAATAGGACTTTTAAAAGCCCATCATATTTGTAAAAGATGATCATACTAATCTTTCAACATATTTTCTCTTCTACTGTTAGATAACAGGGTACCACTTAATGTCCAATATAGATATTTAATTCTATGAAATGCGTCCTCAGCATTTACCAAGGCTTTGTCCTGCAAGAGAGTGAGTGTTCCATGCAGCTGTGCTCTGTGGGTTCAGCTATTTTCATAGTTCACCTCTTACACGTGTACTGGCACTCAACAACATTTGAGGGAACGTATGATTGTTGATTTCCTGCGGTGACCCACCGAAATGTCAAGATCAGCTACCTCACTACTTAGAATAGATCCACCTGTGTCTTCATGCTTCGCACTTATGCTCATCTTGATAGCCCTGGGATACAATGGTCCCGCCTTCGTGTTTGGTATACAGGCTCTTTATGCAGAACTTTCATAAGCACAAGTTTCTTATAGAAAGTAAATACTTCTCTGCTATGCTCAAGTAACAATCAATAGTACTGCCAACACAGGAAAAGGTAAAAAGATTTTAACCACCAACTATTCCTACCAACTACCCTCACTGTCCCATGGCTTGGCACGGGATGCCTCAAGATGACAAAGTTGTAGAGTTCCAGAAGACTGAACGTGACTTTGGCGTTACCAAGGCTAGAGTTTCAAACGCAGCTAGCAGAGTTTCTCTTTCTATTTTTCTTTAATCAACCTCTCAGTTCCTTCCTTTCCAACACCCAGAAGAATCAATGACAACGCCGAACAGTTCTCTCACAATGACAACAGAAGAGTTTTCAAGCTTGCTTAAGTAAGACCACAAAGTAATTCCCCTTATGTATTTAACCGCAGTAATCAGCCATGCTTGCATTCAAATTTAAGTATGAATATTATGGTTTCTGTGGTTGTGTTTCTTCAAGATTTCTCTGTGTGTGTGTATCTATATTTGTTTCTTGGCCCTTTGTCTCTTAGTCGTTTGTTTCATCCTTTTCCAGTTTGTTTTGTTGTTGTTGTTTATCTTATTTTATTATTACTTTTAGATGCCTGTTTGTATGAGAGAGAGAGGTGGTATGGATTTGGGTGGTTGAGGAGTCAGTGAAGATCTGGGAAGAGTTGGGGGAGGAAGAGATCATAATCAAAAGATATTGTACAAAAAAATCTATTTTCATTTTTATAACAAGGACTTTATCATCATCCAAAGACAAAGCAGAAAGATGAACTAAATATCACACATGTCTTGGTGGCTCTAGGGTGCTAGTTACATAGGAACAAGAATCTTGTACTTTTTAGTTCTGTGCTGAAGTTCTACTCCTAAAACAATGCTTTCAATAAACTGTAGCATTAATCTACGGCGGTCGGGATGCAGGATGTTATTTAAATTTTTCTAAATTTGCTGAGACTTGCTTTGGGTCCTGATATGTGGTCAGTTTTTGAAGAAAGTTCCTTGGGCTGCTGAGAAGAAACTGTATTCTTTAGTGTTTGGGTGGAATGCTTTCTAGAGGTCTGTTAGGTCCATTTGATTTATGATACTATTTAACTCCAGAGTTTATTTATTTAGCTTTTGTCTGGATGACCTGTCTGTTGGTGAGACTGTGGAACTGAAGTCACCCGCCTTCACCACGTCAGGGTCAGTATGTGATTTTTAGGTGTAATAGCATTTCTTTTATGAAATTGGGTGTCCTTGCATTTGGGGTATAAATGTTAAGAAGCATAGTATCCTCTTGGTGGATTTTTCCTTTGATGCACAGATAGTGTCAGCTGAGTGAGTGAATTATGCTCCATATTACTAGTCACTTGTAGGAAGAAAAGCCCATTCTCCTTGCTCCTCGTTGCACAGACAGCATAGCCCTGGTTGATGCAGTAAAGAAACACTTCCGGCAACTCTGTCCAGCAAGCCGCTCTCCAGCTTTCCCAACCCATGAGTATTTCTTTCTGTCTCTGCTACCCGTACTGGAAAGGGCAGGGTAGAGCCAGCTTCTTTCCTGTGGTGCCAGGATTGCTGATGCTGCCTCCCAGAATCTCTTCAATCTCCCTTAAAATGCAAAGCCCTAAGCCATGGGCAGTGCAGGTCACCAGAGGATGCAGTTAGTCACAGCTCCTTCCCAATAGAAAATATTTTGTCTGGATGCTTGGACAAGCATCCTACACAGTTTGCAAGAAACTGAGGCAGTCCCAGGAGCCCCATTATGTGTAATGGTAGAATTTTACGTAAAGCCATCAAACAAACAAGAAAAGGAAGTAGTTATTTTTTTCTTGTTAAATGAATGTTCAAGTGTGCACAAAAATAAAGAGAAATGTGTAATGAAGCATCGTGGACCCAAACACTGTCAATACTCTGACTTGTTTAATCTCAGTGAAATGACCTTTAATTTTTGCCAGAATGTGTTATTTGTTTACTTTTAATTGTGTGTATAAATACATGTCTGCTCTATGCACACATGCATTCAAGTGCCCATGGAGGCTAGAAGACCATGTTGGTCCTTTACAGTTAGAGATACAGGTGGTTTGGCCCGCACCTCTGTAGGTTCTGGGAACTGAGCACTGGTCCTCTGCAAGAACAAGTACTCTTCCCTGCCAAGCCATCTCTCTATCCCCTCGCTAGGAGAGCTAAAACAAAGCTGACTGGAAGATACTGTGTTTTTAACTCTAAACATGATATAAACTTTAGTGATAAGGACCCCCTTTCTATCCCAACATAATCACTGACCATTTATTATATGCAACAAGATGGTAATATTGTCTTGGTATCATCAGATACCCGAATTGTTTTGGATTTCTTCTGATCTTCTCAATAAAATGTTTTGAGCATTTCAATATGGTCCCAAGGCCAGGCATTGAATTAGGTTCCTACATTGGATAAAGCAGGAAGTCATGCTGACTGTATGATTAGAAATCACTCAAGTTGTTTTTATGAATGAAAAACTGGGAAGGCACCTATGTGGGAAGAGACAGGGACTGAGTAAAGAAATGTCCCCAAATATCTCAAAATTGGATATACTTTAGAATTCTTATTTGATTTCTTTCCATCACAAATACAAATTAGATACTTATCTAGTCTTGAGCTAGTGGCCAGGTAAGGCTAAGTAATCAACAGATCACTGCTCTGAATCTAACAGTTGAGAAGTCATGGCTATCTAAAATTCTCATTTACTTCCCTGTCTCTTCTTTGACTAGAAATAAAAAATTTTCAGCCAAGTTAAATAGAAAATCCAGGGCCCTCAACTATATTCCTGCTTGCTATTTGGAGTCCATGCCAGACATTTCAGGCTTTCATTCACAGTTTGATGTGTAAACCTCCCAGTGGAATGGGTTTACCTGCCATCTTTCTTGTGTATCCAGCGTTGGTGACTGTCATCAGATTTTTTTTCTCCACCAAAATGACCTCTGTGCTTGACTGGGATCTGGAGCCTTGTACCCCTAGGACCAGTTGAGGAGCAGAAAGGCAAATGATTTGCTCATCTCTGCATTCAAACTCCTGGTGACGTGGCTTCTGCAATCTGCTGTGCTTTGGGAAATGGCTAAGGTGATGGAAACTCTATTAGTGACAGGAAAATAGCCGCTGGAAGTGTATACACTGGAGATGCTCTGTTGGTCAGAGCTCCCCCATAGGCTGTCAACCTTGTGGTGGTAAATATTGCAGGAGAACAGCACCAAGGCCGTCAGCAGTGTGCCTTTAAGCCAGTATGGAAAGTAGAATTGCGGGGCTGGAGAGAGGGTCAGCAGTCACATGTGCTGGCTGCTCCTTTAGAAGATCTGAGTTTGGCTTGCAGCATTCAACAGCTACATCATAGACATCTCAACCTTCACCTCCAGGGATTCACTGTCCTCTTTTCACCTCCACCAGCTTGCACACATGGTATATATTCACACACACACACACACACACACACACACACACACACACACACACATTTAAGCAGAATCCTGAGCTTATTTTAGGAAAGCAGTGAATGTTTATTTAAGAGAATATTTGAAGAATTCACCAGCTAAGGGAAGGATGTTCAGACAGAGAGGCAGTACAGCCTCGGAAGAAAAGGTGAAATCTAAACAAAATAAGGAGGAGGAGAGGAAGCGTGTAGAATGAAAGCAGTAAAATAATGGTGCTCTGTGCAAACTGAAATAGTTTTCCTTCTCTTGCTGCTGGGCTCTGAGCTCCAAAATTTTCAGTAAAGAACTGTCACAAGAGAATAAGAATATGCCAGGAAGTTCATTTAAAGAAATCTCTCTCTTAAGGTCATTAAAACGTTAAACAGATGTGTGACACACTATAAACATCAAAAATGCATTGACATATTTATCTAAAGAGCTCTGTAAAGCCCCTACTCTGTGCGTGGCCTAACACTGCTAAATGTGTGGAATGGTTTAACTCACCTGTGCTAGTAACCAAGATAATGTTATACAAATGTCTAAACATCGAAAAATACAATGTATGTTATGTTCCTAACATTTCATTGGACGATGACCAGAACAAAATGTTTAAATTGGAAAATTGTATCTTTCTAACTTCTAAAAGGCACTAGGGGCATCTTATTTAAGTGTTTAATAATTTATCCACACACTTATTCAATGAATATAAAGGTTCAAATTCTATTCTAAGATCTTAGGAGTCAAAGGCATATGGAACTACTATTTAGCAGAAAAGGTACATCAGACGCCAAGACATTGTATCACCCTGCACAGGATAAGCTAAAGAGGAAAGAACCTACCCTTCTCACTGGTCACAGATGCTTTGATCAGTATCACAAGACAAAAATGTGCATGCTGGCACATGCAGCAGCCAATCAAAGTAAGAATGTTACGGAATGTGCTTGTACCAGCATGAGGGAGTCTACGGCCAGACAGAAATCCCTTGCAAATTTTACCTGTGTTTCATTTTTAAAGAGCTCTTTGTGCATTTTCTTTGGAAGGCTGTAACCATTGGCAAGGTTGTATGAAGGGTCCTGCTAAGCATACTTGGGCATCCTGCGACAGGCTTCCATGAGGAGATGGGCTCTCGCATATGAATCTCTGTCAAGATGCAGGAGCAAAGTCAAGTCTAAGAATGGTGACGTGTGTTCACAGAGTCTTCAGGTGCAGCCTGACCACAGCCTACCAGGTCCTGGTGCTTCTGAAAATCATATTTACAGACGAGTGTCTAGACTTGGAAATGAACACCTCATTGGTACACAATTTAGATCTTTCAGCAGAAGCCGAGAAATAAAATCCTTCAGTCACATGATAAATAGCACTCATTTTTGTTATTTTAGTTTTGAAAAATTGGTCCATGTGTTCTATTTCAAAGTCATATTAGGACCATTAAGCAGTGGGCTCCTTACACTCGTGTTAAGTGGGTCCTAATTTTGCCTGAAGCGGTATCGCCCAGATGATCGGGTTGCACATGTTATGGATGTTAAGAAATCTTCCCCTCAATAGAGGACTTTAAAGTGACTCAAATCACAGCTGCACACATGCTTTTTCTTCAAGAAAAGTATATGGAAACTTTATAATTTAGAAGTGATGATTTGAATATGCAAGTCAAAGATGGACAGTGGTAGCAGCCACTCTTCGGACCCATGGAGTCTGAACCCCAGTTGTTGTTAGAGCACACTTACCTTGGGTGGGATCAGGACACAGCATTATGAAGACTGTTTGGCTGAGGGCAGAACAGCCAGTGAGTTTCAACCCTAGCATGCAACTGGGGAGATCACATTCTTTCTCTGGGTTCGGTGTGCTCACCAAGGTGGTGGTGGAAATTTGATATAACTGCAAGCATTATCAAATGACCAAAGCCTTCCAGGGCAACGCTGGTGCTAACACATCTAGCTGTGTACTGTTCAGATGCCAGGGCCTGTCTGCTTAGGGATAGAGATTGGATTGTAGTCAAGGCCTTCGCGGCACAAGCAACTTCCCACTTCAGCCTATCCCTAGTGGTTGAAAATACACTACTGCCACCTTGTGTTTGTCAAAGAAAACACAGCCCTGCCACCCACACCCTGCAAACAGGTCCGTGTCCTATAGTCTACTTGGAATTTCCCAGCCTTTGATATCCTTAGTAAATCAAATGTAGTCAAGTCAACTCTACAAAAGCCTTTAAAAATCTATTTTGTTTAAATAATTAACCAAATCACTTATTCATAAAATGCCTCTCCATTAGTTATTCATTCCTTTAACTGATTATTTGCCTATCATCTTATGAGCCAGGTATAGAATTCTTTGTGTTGGGTACAGTAATAAGCAGCATAGGTAGGTTCTTGGTTCATGAGACTCATATTGCTTTTGGAAAGAAAGGATAATGGACAAGGAAATGAATAACCACAACCAGCGTCCACACTGTGATGGGATCTGGTGTGCTTCAGGATGGAGTCCTCTCAGAGGCCATGCTAAAAATGAGGGCTGAGGAGAAATCTCCTACGTGATGAAGAGCATTCTAGTCTGAACCAAAAACAAACAAATAGCAAATGAAGGATGCATTAGATTCGTTTGAGGAGCAGGAAGATGCTGATGTGACCGGGTGAGTGCTGGGGGGGGGGGCATCCACACAGGATTCGGGTGTCAGGAAGGGCCAGTGTCTGCAATGATGGGAGAAAATGAGAAGGTCATCCCCAAGTCCTGTGCTCTGATCAGCAGGGATGCAGAGGTCTGCGCCCAGGCTCTTCCTCACCCACCTCCTTACAGGCTCTGTTGCACATCACTCCACAGAACCCAGCGATGAGAAAGGCCCGCCTTTCAGCCCTGAAAATGCACATACAAGAAACATACAGACTGATCAGGTTATATTTAGGAATGTATGTGCACATACGTTTGTGCATGTGATGGTGAAAAGATTGATCATGAGTTGGAATGAGAGTGGGGAGGAATACAGGGGAGGCTTGGAGGAAGGAGAGGGGAGAAATGTAATTAAATTATAATCTCAAGAAGAAATGACAGAGTCTCTTTTAGATTTATGTCTCAGAACTTGTTTCACTGATGCCCTTCCTCTTAGGTCACCTCACTCCAAAGACACAGGCTGAGGGACTCCGGAGAAATTGCACAGTGACTTTCTAACATAGATTTCTGTAATCGCAGACATCTTGCCAGACAGGAAGGATGGAACACGAGAAAGGGTAATGAAAGGTGTGTGGCATGGAAGCCCAAAGGCGGGGGGCATCTGAGAAGAAGGCGACTACACCAGAGCAGGAGAGGGTAGAGAAGGCAGTAGCCAAGGGGGTGAACATGAGGAACACACAATGGGATGAAAGTGCGAAATCATAGTAGCCAAAATGATGACTTTCCGTGCTAACTAAAAAATAAGTTTAAAGAACAATTAAATGAAAAAAGAAGATGATGTGAAAGAACCAGTGAAAATGATGTCCAAAGAGGGACAACTTGGTACCCTGAAAAGCCTTGAAGGACAGTGGACTGTCAGCTAGGAAGGAAGCATGAGCTCAAGGGACAGAGAATTCTAGGAGTTACTTATCAAAGCAAAACGGGCTGCCCTGTGAGCCAGTGACACCCCTGGACACAGGGAATCTTGGAGAGCCTAGGGCACAAAGGCTACGTGGGCTGTTTGGGAGAGAGTCACGCTGTGCTGAGTGCTGTAAACTCCCTTACCTTGGGGACTCCGGCCCTTGATGTGACTAATTCAGAACAAAGCAGATCTTTGCTCTTAAAGATGGTTCCCTTTCCTTACTCTATTTTATCCAAGTGCAGCCTGGTAGCACGCAGAGACCAGAGAAAACATTCTTCAGAGGAATGAAAGGGTAGTTAGGGAAGTTTATGTCCAATTCCTAACTTTTATGGGAGGCGCCACATGGGAGAAATTAGTCTCTGAAAGCAAAAGATGCTCCCCAGAGCCTCTCTGGTAGTTTCATGACATGGGCAAGATGACTAAGAAAAGTACTTCCTAAAACCAGTTTCCTACATGTTGGAAACCAGGTGGGCCGGCCATGGTTCATCAGGTAAAGGTGCCTGTCACCAGGACTGGCGAATTCAGTTTGCCCCCCCCCCCCATGGCCAACAGTGGGAGGAGAGAATTAAGTCCTTGTCCTCTGACTTCTACACCTGCACTGTGTCACACACACATGCGAAATTAATGTGTAAAAAATAAGCTTGTAACAAGGATAAATGAGTTTTTGCAGTCACTGGTGATCTGTTCTAGGATGGACTCAGTCATTCCATTATTCCGTCGGCAGTGTGTGTGGTGCGGAGCCCTTCCCCACACTGAGGACCTAGATGGACAGGAAGGAGCAGGGAGAAGAGGTCTGACAAAGCCATCCCCATGGACAGCACTGATGAAACTAGTCTTGAGGATGAAGTCACCACAGACAAGTGTGTGACAAGAAAGAGAACTTGAGGCAGAAATGTGTATCTGTGGTGGATTGTGTCACCTTCTTGTCACTGCTTGTCACCTACTAGAACTTGCTGTGCTAGACTTGTTATGCAAAAAGACATGTACCAAGGAGGAGTGACCAGGAGGTACAAATGGGGACAGGCAGGGATGAGGGCCAGAAGAAGGCAGGTTACTATTCAACGTGTCAGCCTAGGCACTCACTGAAGAACTGTGTACAAAAGATCATGTGTTACCAAGATAACAGTCCACAGAGGAAACGTAGAGAATTTGAAAGGATGACATTACGGAGACTCTCTGGAAATATCTCAATGGTTCAGAATGAGTCAGTGTTTACCAGAACAAAGCATGAAGAATTAAAAAACAACAAAAGAAAGAGGAAAAGAAAAAAGTATAATGCCAAGACAATGTCTTTTAAAAAGTCATGACATTGTAGCAACATCACTGCAAGTAGATGGTGGTGATGGTTCAAGCTCTAATTCCATTCAGCTGTTAGAAAACTAATTAAACACGGTGTCTTCGAGTGACAGGTTTCAGGAAGTTTTCTGAGTTCCCTGAATGGGTGCTTACTGCTGTAGTTGGATGAGCTGCGGTCACACAGCACTGCCCCCTTTTCAGGCCACAGAGATTACTTACACAGTGTCTCTGCAAGCATCTCTTGTTATTAAAGCAGCATTTTCCATCTGCCTTCCCTCTGGTCCTTTCACTTGCTTCTCTTCTTCAAAACTGCCTACAGGTTTATTCATGGGAAGCATGCCTCCAGGGAAAAGGTCATTTTGGACTTCTAAAACAAGAGCTGAGAAGAAATGAACAAATTGTAATGACATATTAGTTATGACCATAGAGCACTGGGAATTCAAAATACATACCCACACGAGTACAAAACCTTCAGCCTTTGGGTGTCCCTTTAACCAAGAAGTTGGACTTATTTAACTGGGTGTTTGGCAACTCTTTTCTCTCAAGATATTCTTAGACAAAAGTACTAATAATAGTCATCCTCACGGTTAATTTAATTATTCTCTATTTTAATTATTCAAATAAGCTATAGAATTTATGTATGTGTCTTTAGATTGTTCTCTGGGAGTCAGACTCAACCATGAAGCCCAATACTGTAAAAGATGCATGTAAATCTTAGTATTATATAAGTGTGTGGGGTGATTGTTTTTCTTTACTCTGGTAAGGGAAGGAGGAAACTCACAAGGAAAAGAGAGATGCTACAAGAAAAAAGCAGAACCACAAAGACAAGAGCGGGGTAATGGGAACAGAAGTCAACCATCCATCTTGTTTGTTGAGACGGAGCGTCCCCCTGGGAACTGGGGCTCACTGGTTAAGCTAGTCTAGCTGGCCAGTGAGTATGTCTTCTCCTCCCCATTGTTGGGATCCCAGGTTCTTGCCATAACACTTTTCGCAAGAATGCTGGCAATCAAACCCAGTGGCTAGCAGTGTACTGACTTGGCTCTCTTAGGTGATGCCAATGACAATTTTTGACATTCAAACAGGATACTGTCCCAAGACAACCACCATGTAAGTCAGGAAACACAGCGCTGCTGCATAGTTTCCCACAGACTTTCCTTCCTGTCCAAAGAGTTTAAGTTCAGTATTGACCTGTGGGGACAGACATAGAAGGAATCCTCTTTCCCCATATAGACTTCACTGCAGAAACACTACGGAAACCTCAAGACTCTGTGACATGATCCCCCAAGGCTACATATATATTGGCTTGCCTTCCTGAAGATGTAGCTATGACCTATTATTTGCCAGGATGCTTTGTAGAACCTTCCTAAATTGGTTGATAAATAAGGGTAATGTGGCTCTCTAGCCAAGACCTCAGAGGCCACTACCAGGTTTCAGAAGGCAAGGCAGAAGGAAGGAGGCTTAGCCAGGTAGGAAGCACAAAGCCCCCTCAAAGTACTATCTGGGCTGAATGAACAAACACCAGTCAACCCAGACTTAGACTCCAGCCTGGGAGCCCAGGCACAAGAGGATCTACAGCGCAGGTTTCCCCCTCTCAGCCAACTGGAGCTCTGAAGAAGGCAAAGTTCTAAAGCAACTCCCCACCAAGATACTGATGGCATAAACAGATGGTACAACATTAAAACATGATTGGTCATTTAATCCTTTTTTTCTTGATGAGAACGCACGAGGCTCACAAATAGCTATACATCTGTAAAAGATAAAAGAGATTATGTTGAGGTTTTTTTAAATCTTTTTATCTCCTCCAAAGTATAGTAGGTAGTAAAATAGTAAAATATGCAACCCTGTTAAATATAGCTTAATAAATGGGGCTAAAGAACTAAACATAAAGACGCCAGTTTAAACAAACATGACTTTTTAAAATAAAGCAATACCATCAGATGTGTTAGGACATCAAAGTCAGATAACTTCAAAGTTTACCTTCCACCTTGCGCATGCTGCAAAAGGTTTTAATCTTGCAAATGTCAGCCTTGAGGCTTCTGAGGAAGATTTGCTTCCTTTGTTGAGCAATGGAGAGGTCAGGATTGATCCAGTGTTCTCCACACGAAACATGCACCTATCAAAGAGATGAGTCATGGATATGGCATGTAAGGGATGGAGGCACCTTTATTTGAAACACCTCAAAATGGCAGCAACTGGAACACCTACAGTGGGTGAACAGCCAAAGCTCAGTATCATGGGATACCACCCAGTAACAGAAGCGACGTACTGACAGAGACGCCAGTTCGCCAGAGTGTGCGGAAGGAGGCAAAGCCGTAACTGTATGTGTTGTCAGACTCCCTGGGCCTCTTCCATGCTTGCCAGTGGATGCCGACCTTTTACACAACACAAGGCAGAGCAGAAAAAGCGCTTCACTCCCTCTTTGCCTCTTTTCTGGGTCTGTAGTCATTTACAAATAAAGAGGTTTTCAAATAAGTTTACTTTTAATGGAAGGGAAGAAGGAAGGAGAGAAGGAAGGACTGAAGTGCAGGTGTAATCAAAGGCTGGCAAACCGTGACTGTGGCAGATGTGGACAGCTGGTCCACAGCTTTATTGAAAAGGAGGCCTGCCCATTTGCTTACACGCAGCCAGCCGCTGGTGTCTCAGTCCAGAACACATGGTCACCGCAACCTAAGAGCTTCACTACCTGTCTCTTTGTGTAAATGGACTTGTAGTTTTATATAAACACCAGACTATGAGTGTGGGCTAGAGACACTAGCCGTTAAGCACGTGTGCTACTCTTGCAGAACCAAGACTAGGTTCCCAGCATCCACACTGGGTGGTGAATTAGCTCCAGGCCTCTTTTGGCCTTCAGAGACACTGCTTATAGGTGTACAGACCTACACAGAGACATGCAGCACACATATAATTAAAAATAAAGATCAAAATGCATGCACACACACACAATCTGCTGAAGCCAGTTTTGCTGTTTGTGTGCATATGGTTTCAAGGCTGGCCACTCTGAATTAGATAACCAATAAGGGGTTCATCCCTGGAAAAGTTAATTCTCCCTTTCCCAGCAGTCATTAGTTGTCTGTAGTTCTTGGTCTAGGGGTAGGATCCCATGAAATTTCTCCCCTTCCACATTAGCATGTCTACTGACACTGCCATTGTTATGGTTTTATTTGTGCATACCCATACATACAAACATATTTGTATGTATCAATAATAATCAGAGGGGGAAAAGGTTACCAACTTCACAGTAGGGACATGGTGAGCTTTGAGAAAGAGTGGTAGGGACAAAATGGAGGAAGAAAAAGGAGGAGAGGAAGTGATTGAATTCTATACACAGAATTAAAATGTCTCTTTAAAGGTAATTTTAGCTTATTGTACAACATGAAAAATGTGCACAAAATATCGATGTGCAATTTCTGGATAATGATCTTACAGGTGGCACCTTCTCATTTTCCTTGTATCTATTTCTTAAATGCCCTTAAATACATTACCTTTCTTTCTCTGCTTCCTTTCTTCCTCCTTACTCTCCCCCTTGACAGAGTCCCTCTAGTAACCCTGTCTGGCTTCAAGCTTCAAAAATCATTCAGCCGCATGTCCTGACATCTGGGGTGCAGAGATGGGCCACTGCACCTGGCACTTAGTCTCTCGGGGATGAGGAAAATAATGACATGCTGACTCGGTCTGAAGAGAACCTTGGTGCCACCTTTGTCGTCATCAGTTAGCTCTTCACATGAGAATGCAGAAGACCTTCTCCTAGGTACTCCTCTTCCTGAGTAATAGGCTCCCCATTCTCCCCCAGACATCAAATCTAATAACTGGTTCCATTACGATCTTCACACTCACAGAGCAATGAGTTAAACACTGGTGACCACAGATGCCCACCCCCTACTCCATCTCACCCTTCTTGCACCCATACTTCCTGTGCCCTGCTGCCTCCTCTATACTACTCGTTAGGCTACATTTATCCTTGGTTACTATTTATTTTCAGGTAGTCCACCTAAAATCCCAACTGAAAAAAACAAAAACAAAAACATCAAGTAACTCCAGCATCATATACAAACAGAAATACTAAAACCAAGCAAAAACTCTTAGAAGTGATAGAATTCAGATTCCACATAAAGCCTGCCAAAATAGGAGCAAGGCCTTCTCACCCGCTGCCACTCGTGCTGTTCATTGTATGCAGCTCTCAGACTCTCTTAAGAGGACCTCAGATTTCAGAGCACCAGCCAAGCTTTTGTTTTATTTTGTTTTGCCCGTGTGTGAGTGTGTGTGTGTGTGTGTGTGTGTGTGTGTGTGTGTTGATTTTTCTTGAGATAGTGTCTCCCTACCAGAATGGCATAGAACTCACTATATAGCCAAAAAATGACCTTGAACTCGCAACAATCCTCCTGTCTCAGCCTCTCAGAGTACTGAGATTACAGGCACGAGCCACCACATCCAGCTTCAAGATTTGATAATAGATTATGAGCTTTGTTCTTCATTTAAAGAGCTTCAGGCATAAATCAGGGCAAGTAATGTTTTTACCTAAGGTAATATCTCTAATTCTTCAAATGGGAAAGTCTAGACTGTGTGAGATTTCTCAGCTTACTCTAGCCTCCAAGTAGAGTGTATGAAAAGCCATAGTTTCTCAAACCGAGAGAATGAGAAATATTTAAATAACTATACTGCATAGACTTCAAAAATATTCAAGGGTCTATCTGCTTCAACAACAGAGGTAGAAATCAGATGCAGTGACTCACGGGGCTGCCTTAGTTCTGTGGTGGAGAAAATGATATCCTTTTTAAAGAGGCATGATTGGCATATCTATGTATCATAATTAGTCATGCAGGCCTGACCTGCCTAGGAAGGCAGCAAGGCTACTGATCAGCTTTTCGATTGACTCCTTGGTGGGAATTCTGAAAAGAATAAGTGTGGCAAGCCTAGGAGCCTTGCAACGAAGGGTGTTTCCTCGGCTGTGCCCATGCCCTCTCAGTTCCGATCCCACACCCCCTCTGTAGGTCCGTCAGGGAAAAAAGTTCCTTCCCTTTTTCATTGAAAAGCCTCCTCCAAGCAGCAGAAGGTAAATTTAAAATGTCAGTGCACCTGAAACAAGAGTTACATAAATTGGTTTTGCAATTAAGCAGACAACGACACCAGTTATTTCCTTGAGGGGGTCTTGAGGAAATAAGGCATATGAAGCATATGAACTCATGCTCCAGTTGATGGACCAGTGGATACTGAGTGAGAGCACTCACAGCAGTTGGTGGGGTTGCCCTGCTTCTGTTTGACTGATAACCAAAAGAGCTAATCCAATGTCATCTCGTTTGTCTTTGCACATCTGTGAGGTTACAGTGCAGCCCATGATATACCAGCATCTCTTCCCTCACTCATATTTTCCTAGAGTGAATCTTCACCTGTGGGAGCCTCCTGCTTTAGGGCATTCGGGCCACAGAGCAGAGGAAGGAACAGGCAGTTAACTACTCTTCCTTTATCCTTTGCCCTGTTTTGAAACCCTGGCTTTAGTGCTGAATTTGGCTGCAGAGGGCTGAGACCAGCAGTGTTCTGTGCACTTTTCCCTCATACGCTAGTTTCCATGCTAGCCAACATCAAAGCTTAGAGCAGACAATAACTGGCTTCTAACACCTAATAATGAATGTGTCTTCTGAAGTCACATTATCTAGATTAAAATGCCAGCCCCCTTTTTTTCTGGTTTCTGCAATTTCCCATCTTGAATTTTGGGAGGAGATTGTATAAATTAGCTTCGCCTTCCTATCACAACACACACACAACACAATATACAAATAGACACACGCATACATCTACCTATAGGCATATAGGTATTATACGATTAAAATGTGTATAGTCATTATATTCATAACTTATATAGAGAAATATTTTGTGTGCTAGCTGTTAGGCATGACCACTCAAGTATTCACATGCCATCTTTACATTCCCAATAGTAAACATTTACCTCTCCAAAAGGTGGTGAGATTCAATCTGGTTTCTTTCTGTTTCTGAATAGTTCAAGGCGTGACTTTTCTTTTTCCTTTCCGCATTAACATTTCTGGAACAAATAATTCAAGGCACGTGCATGTTACTGATGTTGTGGGTTAGCTATAACATGTCTTAGCATGGAAAGGAGGTGAGACCTGTTATCATGATTTGCTCCCAATAATTTGCCTTCCTTTAGAAGATACAATTTCAAATTTTAACATAATTAAATATTAAAATTCTTATTTCATAATTAAATAGAAAACTGTAGACTGAATGACATGGAATACTAAGTAAACATGCATTCTGTCAGGAATCTATATAAGAAAATCTATCTACAATATTATGATGCTTTACTCACAGTGCTGAACACCCTGAAATGTAGATTTATCAGCTTGAAAAAAACCTTAGCGATAGTATTCACTTTTTATGTAATGTTTTATTACTTAATTAATTATTCTACTATGAATCTAAACCTAAATTTTTTTAAACAATAATGATCAGAAAAAAGAATGCTTGATTGAAACATATCTTCATTCTGATTTTCAAGACAGTGAACTTTTCTGTGCAGTTTTAGTAATTGCTGAAATTTTAGGAAATGAAAAAATAGATCAAATGCAGTTAATTATTCAGTCTCGAGCACTGCTTTGGCATCAGCTGTAGGCATTTAGTGGTGATATGGAAATGGCTCTCTCATGCTTTAACCCTGGGTGTGACAGAGAAGGCAGCCCACATGCTGAAGTATGCAACAGAACAGTGAGTTATCATGGTACAGAGAGGCAGGTGCTGTCTCCCTTTGGCTTTGTAGATGGTGGAACCAACAAGAGCAAACCCTTAAAACCATCCGTGGTGACTTGTTACATGGCCGGAGGACAGCTTTCGGCCCAAGCAGGATGGTGCTAACGTGGATTTCTATCATTATTCTACTAGCTCAACTTTTAATTAATAAATAAATAAATAAATAAATAAATAAATAAATAAATAAATAAATAAATAGATTTCATGTTGATAAGAGCAAAGTATTCCGTGTGTCAGACTCTTTTCTTCTGGAAGATATTTGGCTTGGCTCTATTAGAGGAAGCCCAATAAGTTGTCTAACTTTGGGATGCCATTACACAGACTCCAGTATGTCCCTTCTGGAGATGGGCCACCTAAGCATGCTCTTGCCTTAGCTGTGTCTTTCTATCTAAACCTTCTGTTAGCCAGTATTTCCATATAGCTGAGGATTCACTATAGACGATCATGCACAAAACTGCCTCAGTCAGCAAAGGAACATTGATCTCTGTTTGGAAGGATTGTCTCAAATGCCAGGGCATTTTAATTATTCGGGTACTATGGACTGAGGTGGTGAACTAACTGGCTTTCTAATATCTGAGGAATCACATTGTTCATGAGCAGAGCCCTCAACACTGGTCCACATATTCTCTGCCAGGATAGTTGTTCAAATTTGCCAACCTCTCTAAGTACTTTTGAATTTCTTGACTGTGCTAAGAACTTTAAACAAAAAGGTGATGGGATGTGAGCTGTGTAATTTATAATTACAATTAAAGATACAAAGTAAGGAGGGAAAGCATACATGTGGAAAGGGATAGAAATGATTTGTTGACTTCGGGTGTTTAGAAAAAAAGCTATTCCCCCCTTTTAAGGGCATTACCCTCACATCTTACATCAAGCAGAATGAGCTAATTATGAGATGTATGCGTCAAAGATTTCAATTTCAGGCTTGACTTTACTTTGAAGATTAATTTTTTACTTTATCATCTTTCCAGGCAGTTCAGTGGACAGCCAACCTGAATGTTCCTCATTGTTCAGTGATGTATGAAGTATATTTAACCGATGTGAAGAGAGCAATATTGCACCATTATCTGCAGCCTCGGATATCCTAGATATCTCAGAAGAAAGGTCAGGAAGTAACGTTGCTGGTAATTATATGAGAAACAATGTGTTTAACTCATTCTTTCCACCAAAGCTTTTTGGCATCCAAGATTCCCTTTCTCGTGGAATAGAAACATACAGCAGGTGATTTGGCTCAGCGGTAGAGAAATACTGACACTTGGGATAGCTTGATTTGAATCACATGGTAACTTAAGACTACAGATCAATGCTTCCTACTACTTCAGAGAATTGTGTCTTAACACAAAGATGTAAGAATAATTATTTATAATAACAATTAAGCTACTTGAAAGCTAAATTTAATAAGCATGTTGTGAATTCACTCATTTCTCCACACACTAATACAACTCCAACCAAAGTGCTCATGGAAAATACAGACAGCTCTTCACATTGCAGCCCCGTATTCTTTTCCTGTATAGATGAAAACACAAGAGATTCATTTAAGCTCCTGACGTACAAACTAAACGAAATTGTGCGTCTGTTTTCATCTTCAAATAGGACTCTTGCGTAAGTAAATATGTAATTCCTCCAGAAAATATTCAAGATGAAGAAGGCGCTTGTCTATAAAACCTGAAAATTGCCCTGAAGGGTGAGCATGACTTGATTGTTGCTCTTACTGTGTTTTCCATCCAGATGAGCCTTCCGGGACAATCGCGAGGGTTCTGCTGTTTTTCTTGTCTCCGTTCCTCAGAACACGGAGTCTCACAGGGACACGCTGCTCTAGTGTCTTACAAACCGGCCTCTTCATGAGAGGGCTGTTGGGCACCAGTAGGCCTTCTATTGGCCAGTCAAACTCCTTCAGACAGACAAGAAAAGATAAAAGAGCAATACACAGTATGAAATTTTCGTACCTTTAATCTTTCATTCATTCAACAGAAATTTATTAGAGATCTGAGTTGTTCCAAAGAATTCTAGATTTTTTTCGTGTTTTTGTGTTGTGGCTTTTGTTTGTGTTTTGTTTGGCATTTCATTTTTTTTTAATTTAAATCTGATCACTTTTTAAAAAGTATCCAACTTTTAAAATTTTAAACTGATCTTTTTTTTTAAAGTATCAAAGGAAAGAAACATTCCAGAAAAGTAGAAGTGAATTAACCTCAAGTATCTTTGCTTCTGTTTTTGTGTGGAGTATTTTTAGTCAGTGTAAAGTAAAAGAAGAATGTGTGAAAAGAATAATATAATAAAATATTATCTTAATATAATATCATGACTACACTGAGGAGATATTAAAAAGCAGAATAAGATGTGAAGTAAAAATGAACACCTATCAGACATTTCCATTGTGGAATTTAGTGACTTTATATTTATTCGCCTATACTTTTACTCACAGTATTAATTCATATACTCTTCAAGCAGTTACTGATTATCCTAGGCACAGAAATAAAACTATGAACTGGACAGGAAATTCTATACTTTTAAGCACACCAGAAAGTTACTTAGCAATCAACTAGAAAATCATAGTAATGTAAACAGGAGCAGCAAGGGACTCTCACAAGAGGAGACCCTTAGTTATTGAGGCCACACCGCAGGCCTGAGGGCTTAGGCTATAGTGGCAATACTGTGTCAATCCAGTTAGGGTATTTTGTTTTGTTTTATTTGTTTGTTTGGATGTTGGGGTCCAGCTCCATTGGGAAGAGTGCTGGCCTTAAAGCAGCAAAGGACAGGAAGAGTGTACACAGCAAATATGAAGATTAGTGTTGTGGGGAGGGGAGCAAGGATGGCTCCCTGAGCACAGCTAGCTTGATTGGGTAATGCACTCGCTATCCACCGAGGTTAAATGGAGCAGGAAGAGTAAATGGGAGAAAGAGTGATCAAAGATGATATTCAGCAAAATCAGAACTTGCTCCCACCCCTCCCTTCCCTTTCTTCCCATCATTTTTTCCCCTTCTTTCCTCCCAACCGCATTTGCAACCGGCATGGTGGCCCCTGCCAGCCATCGGTCGTGCCTACTCTGAAAAACATCATAATTACATTCCAGCTTCGTGAGTTCGATTCTCTCCAGCACGTCAGTTTGTCCACCATGCACGGTATCCTCATGTCTGGTGACTATCAGGTAACTCTTGGTATCCCATAGGGCAGGCTCCTCCATCTTGTTCTTCTTTGTATACTGGCTTTTGTTGGCCCTCTGCCATTTCAGGCACATTTAAGTAAGCTCTTCAAATTTTGTTTGGGATGTAGATATGCTATGCAAGGTTCAGGAATTCCCATTTTGATACAGCTTTAGGATGTAAGGAGGGGTATGGTAGTAGCTCAGAGACTGAGGAAAACATAGCTTTGATCTGAACAATCCTTTTGAAGAGCTAGATGTATGTTGTACTATGGAAATCTCTTTGGAATGTATTTGTGTTTGTATTACTTGTTTTATTCATCTATGTGTCAATTACATTAATAAATTTTCTTGTTTTAAACCAAGCTTGCATTCCTGGGAAAAGGCCAACTGACATTTATTCAAACCGGTCATGGTGAGCTGCAACACCTATAGACTGCTGACTTCGGTCAGCTAATGTTTTCCTTAGGATGTTTGCAAATAGTTGTAACTGGAATTAACATGTAGAATTCTTATATCAACTTAATCAAGGGTGGTATCAACATTCCTAGAGGATGTTCCCCGTGTGAAATGAATTGGAAGACATTTCTTTGTTGTTTGAATTCTGAATTTTTTGTTTCTTTTGGGTTTGGTACACTCAGAAATAAAAAATTAGCTTTCCAAATATCTGAGCTACTAAGATCAACTCTTCCTTTATGATACTTTAATTCTTGGGTGGGTGAGATGGCTCAGCAGGTAAAAGTGCTTGCCACCAAGGGTAATGGCCTGAATTCAATCCCCAGGACCCATGTGGTAAAAAAAAGAGACTGACTTCCACATGTTGTCCTCTGCCCTTCAAAGGAACACAGTGGTCTTCACACAAAACACACACACACATGTACACACACACGTACACACACACAAACATACCCACACGCCTGCACCAAAAATATTAAGATATCTTAATGTTTGTCCTCACAGGTTCTTTTATTTTGGTTTTTTGGTATTTGGTTGATTGGTTTTGTGAGACAAAGAATCACTATATAGTCCTGGCTGACCTGGTACTACCTAATATAGTCTTAAATTTGGAATCTTCCTGCCTCAGGTTCCCAGATGCTGGGACCATAGAGGTTTGCCACCATGTCTGGTTTCCCATTCAAGACATTCACTTTGTCCTTCAGGCAAATAGTGAAATACAGCCTCAGGATAATGAAGGACAAGAAAAACGTGGATAATTAAACTGGCTGGGGCTGTTTTTCCTCCTCCATTTTCTCGGTTGGAATTCTGATCTTCCCACTCATTTCTTCATTGGTCTTCTCTGTTTTTATGCTACTCTACAGCACAGCTGTCTTGTCAGGAGACCCCTGAAGGGCCTCTGTGCGCCCTTAAGTGGATAATTCCCCTTGCCTTCTCTTTCACTCATCTCTCACACAGAGACATATATTGGTTCAGAAGCCAGCTCTTAACCAATGGCTACAGCGTCTCCATTGTGTTGGCCCCACTCCATCTGTTTGTCAGTGGTAAATAACTAAATCTGTTCTGTTTCTTTTCTTTTCCTTTCTTTAAAATAATTTCTGAGTTTGCATAAAATTTCAGAAGACTACATTATTGGTAAAGGTTCCTGATCCATGTGTAGATACAATGTCCTGTCCTGTGTCTTCATATTTCCACAGTACCTGAATTTTATTACCTTCAGTCACGGGAAAAAAAGTTATGTCTCAACAGATCAACAAAACATGTACTTTAAATTTTTTTCTATCATTGGTCTCTCTGTATTTTGACTTAGTAGTTTAAGATCATTATCCTGTAATACATTCCAAAATCTTAAGCCTCTTTAAACTTGCTAATTCTGATGATTTCATCCTTGACTATGAAAAATCTATTACTCCTTGTCTTTGAAGATTTAGAACTGTAATTTCTCAATTTATAAGTTTTCTTCAAGGTTTGAGAAAAATAACACAAGAGTTCATTCCTATAAACCACTCCAGTGAATTGAGAAAAAAAAAAAAAAAAACCAAGAGAATGTATCAGCCCTCTGTTTTTATGAGGCTTTAATATGTTTTGTAAAATACTGATGTCCTTGAATACATGAAAACCTGTAGTTAATGAACTACATCTTATCAAATGTTGTTGATTTCCTTGTAGGATACATAATATCTAGAAAGTGACAATAGCATGGAGGAGTTCTCAAATCAGCTGCCAAGGATTTTAGGCAAGAGTGTAGGCTGAGACGCTGTGAAGCCACCTTTGTATTTCCATAGTGTTTGCATTTCTTACTCTTCTGTTAGTCATCATTGTAGTTCGAATACCTCTTGTCGTGAAAGTGAAAGAACTGAACACTCAGTTCAGTGATTGATAGATGATTTTCCTAGACTCAATATGACTCAATTTTCAGGCCTATTCAAACTTGACTCCTTTTCCGTCAACATTCGGCCTTTACTGCTTGGATACTTAAGCTTGTTATGTGGATTTCATCTCTCTCCTTTATTCACCACCTTGACCTCCCTTTTCTGCTTTAGTCTCTCTTCTCTTACAGCCTATACTCAAACTGTAAGATTTGGCAGAGACCATATACTCCTCCCCCTGTCACCTGAGTACATTACAGACAATAGATACAACATAAAATTAAAGATCAAATCTGGAATAAAATTAATGAACACAGTGCTCAAACAGTTATGAATTCCACAATACGAATGTCAAGCCTCCAAATCAATTATACGGAGATGGGATCGGACATACGGGTCTTTCAAACGAGAAAGATGCAGACTTGAAGTGAAATGGGTTGTGCTTAATTTGAGCTCCCTGCTTGCTAAGTACATTCTTCCCCAAACATTTCAAGAAGCAGCAGGACCCAGTCATTTTGGAGGATATAGTCCATCCATCTGACTCTAGCTAATTTAATGCCGCACTTTTTTCTATTCATTTTACAAGTAAGGGCCAAAGAATATGGGGGAGCAGCCTGCCATGAACAAAGGCAAAGTAAAGGCATTTTGATACGTGAAACTTAACTACTAGGCCCTAACTGAAAGGCATGCAAGCCAGAAGGAAAGCAACCATAAGTGGAGGACCTGAGATGTAATATGAAAAGTTAGGATAAGTAGAAATAGAAATACATATTGAATGCACACAAAGTGTTAATATCTTGTGGAGATTTTTAACAATAAAACCTAAACATACGGCAATAAGTAATTCATCATATCATAAGTCGTAAAGTTGAAGTTAGCTATTCTAATGTTCTATTACTTGAGGGAAGCCAAAACATTCATTAACTTTGCATTCATGTATGCAAGTTAGGTTGCTCGAGGTCATTACAATAACACTACCCTTCAAAACAATGGAAATAGAACAATGTATAAAGCAGTAAATGGAGAGAATATAAGGACAACAAAGCCACTATAAACGATTAAAATACTGGGATGAGAGATAAGGCATGAAAAACAGAAACCAAACTGCGATTCAGGTCCATGTGTAGTTAGAAGAGAGAAGGCTAACTACTTCAGCTTAGAGAGGGTGCTGTCTGACAGACATCCTGAGTTGATTATTGGCTCCATCCCAAGAATGTAGAAACCCAGAAAGCCAAAGGATGCAAAGAAGACATACCAGACAGCTAATAACCAAAATTTCAGGATCATTTTATTGTCAATGAATACCAGAAACTTTTACGAGAAGTAGACTGAGTTTCTACATAATGACAAGTCTGACGTTCCTAGAGAAACATAGTATTCTGATCATATGTGTGCCTAAGACCTGTGTTTCAAAATATATGAAGTAAAATTTGAGAGATTACAAGAAAAGACCAGATCGACTTGTTTCCACAGTGAAATATTTTTTATACCTCTTTTCAGTAAACAACAAAATTAGCAAGAACTTTTTACATTGAAATTCAAAAAGTACGTGAACATTTTTTTTTTTTTCAGAAGGTTGACCAGATCCAGGAACTTAAAGATTTATACGAAAGTCAAACAACCTCATTAAGCTGGCCACAGGGCAAGACTGGCCACAGGAATGTAAGCTTGTTCCACAGAGAATTTTCAACTTTGGGGTGTTCCCACTGGCCAGGCTTGCTGGTCCCTTTATGCCTTACTGCCCACGTAAAATGAAGCAGAAAACAAAGTGGGGTGTAGAAGGCTAAATGCCATTCGACATTACTGATTTTTATTGAATATCTGCTATGTACCAGGAAAAGACTCAGTTTGAGTTAAAATCCCCCATCTGGTCATTTGCTATTTACAAGAACTCAAATGAACGTAATTTAGACATAAATGCATTAATTGTAAAAAGAAGGAAAATGATCAAATTGAGCCGAAATTGGCACTGTCATAACAGAAAACATCTAAGCCATAAGACAAAGTGTAAGAGTTATTTACAATGACAGTGACATAAATAACAAGACAAAAATAGGAATACCAGGGAAAATAGAAAACTTCAGTGAAACTCCTGGACAAGCAAAGAAAAGCTAATATGCACACACTTATTGTGGAGAAAATTATGACATCAAAGCAGGTTTCAAGCTATTAAATGAATTTTAATTATATATTTTTAAATTTAATTTATTTAAAATTTTAAAATTAAATTTTTTTAATTTTTTATTAAATTAAATTTTTAAAAATTAAAAATTTTAAGTTTAAAAATATATATTAAATACTGAGTATTGAATCCATGGTCTCACACATGCTAGGCAAATCTGAAGCATCTAATCTTTAAACAATAAATAATATCACGGCAGAGTGGTAAACACCTATTTCCCCAACACTCAGGAAGCTGAGGCAGGAGGATCACAAGGCCAGATCTTGTCCTGAAAACCAACAATTGGTTCAAATATTTTATTATTAAAATTAGTAAATGTAATTATTACTACTTACACATATTATAGTCTGCTTACAGATTATGTCTCTCTCAACAATGCCTATAGTATTAGTAATAATGTTTGTCACATATGAAAAAAAAGTAAGCTTCAGTATAGCCTCACATAGATGGTACAAGAGTGATGACTTAAATTTGAGCCCGTGTAAAAGCTGGGCATGTGGGACCAGGAGAAGAGGAGGGAGGGGCCTACAGTCAGTATATAAAGTGAACATATAAATTGAAAATAAAAAAGGAAAGATAGAAAGAAAGGGAGGAAGAAAGAGAGAGAAAGAAGGAAAGAAAGGAAGAAAGATCGAAAGAAAAAAAAGAAAGAAGAAATAAAAGCTGGGTGTGGTAGCCCATGTCTGTAAGCCCAGAGAGAGGAGGGACAGATACAGGATACACCTCAGAAGCTTGCAGCCCAGCTAGCTTCCATGTGTAGTTTCTGTGTGGGGTACACAGTGCAGCCGCCAACCCCGAGAAAGACTCCACCTCAAGTGTAAGAAGAGAACCAACACCCAAGGGTGTCCTTTGACCTATGCACCCACACACTGAGGCCCTCAAATACACACACACACACACACACACACACACACACACTGTCCATACACACACATCAAAAATAAACAGATAAAAACAAATAAACCATTTTTAATTTTTACATGTATTGTGGTTAATGATGCAGGCAAACAAACACAGGAATGATCAAATTTTACAGTCGCAACAATATGTTTGTTTGTTTGTTTGTTTGTTTGTTTGTTTTTTTAAAGCACAGTATCTTTCTCAAAATTCTATTTTACTAGTTGGAGAAAAAAAACATGACCAATAGCTATTTGGGAAACAGCTAAAATTATTTGCGTGAAAACTTGTAGGACATACCTAGAATTACAGTCAAAGCGAATTTATACTGTAAAGGCTGTCTGTGAGTTAAACAGTGGGGCTGGAGGGATGGCTCAGCAGTTAAGAGCATGGCTGCTCTTCCTGAGATGCTCCCAACTATCTGTAACTCCAGCTCCAGGGAATCCACTGCCCCCTCTGGCCTTCTAGGGCACATGTGGTGCACAGATACGCATGCCAGCAGAACACTCATACACATAAAATAAAGTTAAACAAATCTCATCAAAGAGCTAGAGAAGGTAAAACAAGAAAGCACTTTATTAAAGAACTATTTTGAAAAAAATTTGAATGTCTCATAGAAAATAGATGGGATGAAATAATATTAAGATAAAATTAAAAATTTTAGAAAATAAAGCTTCAGTAAAATTGTTGAAAATGTTTTTTTAAATAAAAATAAAATTAAAAACAGTAAAATCCCTAATTATGATATAATTGTTTATGGTTTCTTAAATCCCCAAATTAGTTTTTAGTGTGAGTTCCCTTTTAAATATTAAGTATTAAAATAAGAAATAATTATTTTTAAGAAGAACAGAACAGTAAATAAGTACCGATTCACATAACTGCAACAAAGATAAAAATAGAAAAGCAAATTAAACATTTACTATAGAAAAGATTAAAAATGAGGGTACAGTGTGTATGTAACTATTACTGGTAAAAGAATTTTGGAAATATAATTTTTGAAAATTTTCAGACTTGAAATATAGATATAGAAAGTAGAAAGCATGTTCTCACCCATGTAATTTAACAGGTCATGAAAAAGAGAATTTTTCTGCTATATAAACATGAAATAGGAAAAAAAAACAGTTAATTATTTCTGTGGCAAGTTGAAAACCTTCATAATAAATTCAGTCACTGGCTGTTTAAAAATATATCAGTGTTACTTATAATTAAAGATATATCACTCCTAAATCAATATTAACCAATAAAATATAATATTGTGGCAGGAGACTGATCACTGTATATAAGCCAAAGTGATATAGGGGTAAAATTATGGACAGTTCTTAATCTAATTCATCACTGAGAGTAAGTGATTATAAGGACAGTACAGCACCCATTTTTCAAGAAGAGATGATGATCCTTAGAGACTCGGAAGTTTCTAAGGCCACCTACCCCCATCAAAACCATATGTAATATCTAATGTTGAAGAGCCTGTTTCTTTGGACATGTTTTTGTGTGGCACTTTTATCCTCCACATGTCAAATCGTGCTGGGCCCAGAGGTAGGAAGCCTCTAGTTCCCGCTCCTCTTAGCCCTTTCTGTTATTCTTCCTCCATGTACCTGTCCCCAAACTATTCCCTGATGTTTAGAAACACCAGCTGTTCCAAGTCATTGCACCTACCACACTTCCATACCCCTAACCTTCTTGACAGAGCAGCAGTTCCTTTTATACCCAGGTAAGAGTCACAGTCCATCAATACAGCCATTCTCTTGCCTTCATACTCACCCTATTGCCCTCACACGATCTGAGCTACCAGTACAACATGATTTCATACTGTTGGTGTCTGTAATTCGCATACTCTGGAGAGTCTATGCATAGTTGCAAGCATATGCATGTTAAAGAGCTCTGCAGAGACACGTGATAGTTGAAATACATATTGCTTTTACTTTAAAGTTATCCTTATTTGATTAGCTTTGTTATTACTAACGGCAAGGCCAGCTCAAGTGTGGACTTTATTTCAGGACAGTAAAGAAGTCATTGCAGAACATTTGCTATAAATATAAACTGATAGAGACTCAGTTCACAAGGCTGGCTTGCAAATAGGTTAATATGCTATGTTAGCTCTTCTCAGTTGGCACGACTGCTCTGTGCTCCCACTTCCTATAGGTATGAAGAATAGTGCCAAATACCATTCATCCCAACTGGACACCCACTTTGTAGAAAACATATAGGTACAAGAGGGGTGTAAATGTATTGATATAACAACACAGATTAAGAGTTTGACATGCTGATGAAGATAAGAAAACAAAACTGGAAAGCATGGTTAAGGGACATGGAATTTTGAGGGGAGAGTTTGTTGAAGGACTTACGGAGAAGATCCAAAGCATTTGATTTTTATTTCTTATGTTAATGCACACCTTAGACCGTCCACTACAGAAGAGGCTCTCGACAACAGAGTAGGCAAGAAGCCCAGAGTGAGTGTTTTTTGCAGAATGTTCATTGACTTGACATCACACCTAAAACTTCTTCAGAATACTGTTTCAAGGACAAGAAGGTGAGACAGTGAATCACAAGCTTCTCTTCTCTAACATTATACATCATCAGAAGAAGCTTGACAGAATGCAGCAGGGATGTTGAAATCTGAACCCGAGGTCCATCCAGGTTACGGATGTTTGGGCTGTTATCCTAAAAGGTCAACATATGTAGTGACCAAGAAAGCTTTAGCATTATATCTTCAATAACTAGAATTTCAGGTCCTGAGACCAATGGTAGCAGAAGGCTGGCCCTTACTTCCAGTGACCCAATTCAAAATTCATTCCCTTGCTCACAAAGCCTCAGGCTTTGCAGTGTCCTCAGATTGATTTTCCTGTGAGAGACTTCTGCCCAGGGATACAGAAATCTGAACTAGCCTGTAGAACCTTCAGTTAGCATTGTCGGCTACTCTGAATGTCTCATGTCATTAGATGGGCAGCCCAATGGGACAGTCGTGACTGGAGAACTACTATTCATTGCCATGAGAACTAAAAATGGCTCCTACGCTGAAGAGGTGAAGGAATGAAGCCAAGAAGTCTTTATGAACTTCTGTGCCCCCATCCCCCGCCAAAGAGTAAATGGATAAGTGTAGCAGTAGCAGTGAGAATCTGACAAGGCAAGGAAATTCAGGGCTGGTACCTGCCAGGAACAAAGCCATTGGTAAAGTAGCCCATACCAGTCAAAACGCTGGCCCAGATATATTTGAAACAAATGGAGAAAGGATGTTGATGCCTACCCACTAGAGTCCAAAGACTAATGGGAGTTGTGAGAATTGAGGTTGAATTTGTTAACTGCCACATCTTTGCATGGCTCCAGGGATTGGCCTGACTGAAACAAGACACTGCTGTTCCCTCCTACAGTCCACCCTCCCAGAATCTCAATAATCAATTTTATTATATACACTTGGACAGGGAGGCTGAGTTATTGCAAACAACTGGATCATGAAGGCAAGGTTTGTGCTAGACTGCTAGATCAAGGAGGTTTAACTGAGCTCGGCAGGGGCACTCTCTGGAGGAGAGCAGTAAACTTCCAGGGGGGATGTAGAAGGCTATGGAGGACATTTTCTACACGTGCCTACACACTGGAAGGCTTTGGCATCCCTCTGAGCCTCAACCTGTGATTGTGGAAGGCTTTTCCACTCTCCCATGGATCCGAGGCT